CGTCATTTCAATTAAAATTTATTATGTTATATTGTATTATGATTGATTTTGTTTTTGGTTTTGTACTGAAGTGCATTAACTCAGCGGCAGCACTTGTTGAACGATGTGCTTCATCCCCTTTGCTGCTTCCAAACCGCCAGAACCTGTTGCTTTCTTGTCCCGCCACCCACGCGTATCCAACGCTATTCGCCGAAATAATAAAACCATTGAATGAAATCCACTTGCAATGGCCACAGCGCGAAATTAACATCTAACAAGAGCAAAACATCATCGACAATATAGTTAGCTGCCTGTGTGACACAAACAATTGTTCAACCTGCGAGTTTTTGATGCGTTCGACGTCTGCCGTTGTTATCGTTTGTGTTGTCAATGTTATTGAATGTGGCGAGCTTGTAAGCGGCAGGATTACAGTCTTTACCTACTCGCGCAACCTGGATGCAGAATTCAAGCTGTCAACAACCGCAAACTTCATTATGTGTAGCAACTGGCGGGCGTAACCAATGTAGCCAATGTATTTGTGATTAACGCGAATTGAATGCGATTACAATTCCTCGTATACAATAGCAGGTATTAACATTATAATAGATTATTTCAATTAAATTTACATCAAAATAACCTCAAACTTAATTATTTAGGTTAGAATTTTATGAACATGATGTAAACGTGTTTTTAGGTTAAAACAATGCAATTTCCTGTTTTTTGTGTAAATTACAGTTAAACATTAATGTGATTGATTTAATTTGTCGTAATTTAAACAGGATTAACTCAACTACTGCACTTATAACAACCAACTTAAAATCAGGCCAATTTACACCAACCTAACCTCAAAATTAACGATTTAGTACAGAATTACATAACTAGATGGCGCTGCATGATGTAAACATGTCTTTCTGTTAAAACAGTTTTATTTTTTGATTTGTATGTAAATTACCTGTTGTAATTAATGTGTAAAAATGTGATTGATTGAGTTTGTCGCAATTTAAACAGGATTTACTCAACTAACGCCAGCTACAACAACAAACTCGAAATTGCGTTGCAGCACCGCAAATTGGCAAAACTGAGTTACTTGTTTAATTGGTTTAACGCGCTGAACTGACGCTGTTCCGTGAAATTTTCTAATGGACGCCGCCGTCACATCCAACATCACAACCATTCAAACTCAATTAATTAAATGCATGATTGATTACGCCACTGCATTATTCATCATTCAATATATAAATATAATCGAATCGAAGCTCGTGTAAAATTTTTATTTGTTGTACATTAACAAATTAATAAATGCATAATCTGATAATGCTGAGATTAAATTTGCTATCCAATTAAAACTTGCAGCATGACAGTAGTGAGGGTTGCGGGTTGAGGGTTGGAGTGGCCTGCGCAAACAATAGCAGAAAAGTTATACGTGTATCAAGCGAGCTTGGACCCGCAAACGGACAGGCTTTCCAAAAGCTTCTCAAATCCTATCCGGAGATTCATCCTGCCTAAGCGTATTACACTTTAAATTTAATTTTAAAAGAAAATTATGCTTTAAATGTTTCATATTTGAATATAAAGTGGTTAACAAATTGAAAATGTGTAAGTTTAAGCAAATAAACTTAAATGAAATCTATTTTTCAAAGTTGGGTGATGTGATGGTGGAGGCGCCGGAAATTGACTGCTTGTTGCTTGCGTCGGTAGTGTACGTCCCGGCGCCTTCACTCGCGTACGACAGGCATTGCGAAAGCACCGAAAACAAGGCAACTTTTGCAGGCACTGAGGTACCGCGCCACGGTAATATGGATTAACTGCCACTTTGTAACTACTTTAACGGCGTAGCGCGTCTTTGGCGTCGAGACGTCTGCGTCTTGATGTACGCTCACGAGCACGCCTGCATCTTGCAAACCAAATGAAAAGTATAAAAGTAGACAGGAATAAAATACTAAGTGTTTTACATTAAACTTATAATTTTTTTATAACTAAAAGTTTAAATCTGGTGAGGTTCGTGGAAATATTACGAACTAAACTGGTTTTGATGTTGTGCTTTTGACACATTTGATAATTGAATTTTTAAAACACTCGTAGAAGGCCAGTGAGGGTTATGAGTACATTGCCGAGGGTGAAAAAGTGTAAAAACAGCGCAAACTGCGGGGGTTGTGCACGCACCTCGTAAATGGATTTCAGACGAGTGGAAACTATAGTAAAATTCGATTACGTCAAATCGTTCAAAACCGCCACGAAGTTAAAATCGCAGTTTTCAGTACGTCGCACAACTTTTCGACGCGACAACAACATCCATCATATTTTTGGCTAAAACTACAGCCAGAATGTTTTAATTTATAATCTCTATATACAAAACAAAGTTGTGTTAGTTACAGCATTTATAACTCAAGAATAACTGGACAGATTTTAATGATTTATGATTTGTTAGATAGGTCTCAACATGGAATAGCAGAATAACTATTTAAATGTCAGAAATTGTGAGTAAAAGGATGTTAAATAAGGAATATAAGTTGTTACAGAGATCCAATTATAGTTATTGATAAATAATTGAATCCTAGATGGCGCTAAAGTGTATTATTAATATTTCCCATTTTATTAAAATAAAAATGCGAATCTTTTTAATAAAAGTACTAACTTTTAGGTCTAGGAACGAAATCGCAAGCGAAAACTAATATATATATATATAATATAAAAATGAATCGCAAAGTCTGTTGGTAAGCGCATAACTCAACAACGCCTAGACCAATTTGGCCAATTCTTTTTTTAAATGTTGTCCAAGTATAGTTTTTACCGCGATAAAAATTTGATATATTGCCGGGAAAACCCTAAAGACAGCCTTTTTCAATAGGATAAAAGTTGGCATTGAGTTTCAATCATAGTTATAGTTAAATAGTTGAATCCGAGATGGCGCGCTGAAGTGCATTATTAGCAATTCTTTATATAATTAATTTCTATAAATAAATTAGCAAATCTTATTGTTAGAATTGACACATACGAGTAGTATGTCTAGAACAAGAGGGTAAAAAAGAATTACATTTTTATTAAACACTACCGGGACGAAGTCGCGGGCAAAAGCTAGTATATTTATATAATAATTCCTAAAAATGTTTTTGTCGTTAATTAGCGGTTGAAATTTTTAAATTATTTGCAAATATTTGATTTTATGAGTCGGTAAATTGCTGCGTTTGTAGCAATGCTAATACATGCGGTATTTTGGAGTTTGTGGTGTAAACACGTGTTGCTTGTTTGTAAAATATCGGATACATGGTGATTGATGCGTTGTGTTTGGTTTTGTTTTGCAGAATGCTGGGTGGCGTTGCTGGCAGGCATATGTCTAACCGGCGGCGCGGCTCTTCGCCGGCGGTGCGTGCCACCGATGACCTGCCGCCCCCGCGGTATGCCCGCCGCCGGCGCGCCGTCAACACCGCGGACCATAAATCATGTGCCCTTATTCAAACGCGTCTCAAGCTCGGAGATATTATGTAAGTATATCTTTATTTTTGCATTTATTTTGTGTCAAGTCAACGTTGATAAAAGTTTTCTTTGCCCAAAATGTTTCAAATTTCTACAAAAATATTATCTAAACCTTACAAAATTATAAAAATATTGATTTAACACAATAAATTCAATTTGTATGTCATTTTTATACATAATAATTGAAATACGAGTATGTAAAATTTTGGTAAATTTAAATTTTAATCTCGTATAAAAATATAAAATTTATTTAAATTCAGTTAAAATAGTTTGTTTGGTAAAACAAATAGATAAAGCCGCTCATTGTTTTCAAAATAACACAGTAAAATGCTCAAAATAATCACATTAATTGTTGTTTGTGCAGTGCAAATTAATTAAATTCACTAATAACGAGAAAAAATATCGGATACGACGTAGCCGAATTAAAATCGACTAGCGGTTGACTAAAATGCTAATATGCCAAAAAAAACCTGAAATCAGCACAAAATAATAAAATAATAAAAATAACACTAAAAGATGATAAATATTTTAGTATAGTATTACTAAAACTGAATTATCAAATTCAATAAAATTATCCGCAATAAATTAGATTAATAATCCATTGGGGCAATAAAAACGAATTGCTCAATGAAATCCAATTAAAAATATTTCAGTTTCAAAACCAATAAACGGTGAAGTTCTTCATTCAGTCAAACTCAATGCGATTCCATTTTATAGCCTCTCATAACTGTTGCGTGGCTGCATCGGTAAAAAGATCGAAAATTATATTTGCGATGAAAAGTGTTTGTCGGAGTTTCGAGAGCCACCTTTCGGCGAGCGGAGGAAATGAGGAAAAACGTAGACAACACGTGGAAAACTCAACCTGCGCAGTTTGACGCGCGTAATGCGGCGTTTTCCACGTGGCGCGCTGGTTCATTGAGCGAGTATTTCGGGGTGGTAACTTTATTCTCTTATCGGGAAAATTCCTAGATGTCTCTGCTGGCGTGAAACGGAAAATTAAAGTTAAATAAATAGTAAAAATTATTTTGAATGCTTTTGAAGCTAAAAGATGATAAAAATTATTATTTTTAAGGTTGCAATGAAAAAAGTTTTTGATTTTTGTTAGATTTATCTAGGTCAAAATGGTTAATAGTAATGACCTTTAGTAGTAAAATGTAGTAAAAGATGGCATTGTAATATCGGGGGCGGTTTTAAGTTTTTCATTAAAAAAAGGCTCTTAAAGTTATATTCGTGGGTAGTTGATCGAAAAATTAAAATAATTTAATTGTTTTCCTGGTAGTGAGATATTGGTTTGTCGGTATGCCACGTGAGCGCGTTGCATGAATGGAAGCCGCCGCGCCGGGGGTAGCTGGATCCGGGCACTTGGGCATCGGCGCGGCGCGGCAGCGGCGAAAAAACAGCGCAAGCTCTAAGTCGCTGCTCCCACACACCAACACACACTTCCACACAGTCAAATGAAACGAATACGGGCGCCGGCGTATACCACCCCCACGGCGGCGGCGCGCCACCACACGCGTTCGACGATCTTTTCCGACGGCGGCCGAGGTCGGCCGCAAGCCTGAGGAGTACGGGTGCGGACCGTAGCCGCGCACACAGTGACGTTGCGCCCGAAAAGTGGCTAGAAAATAAACGCGAAAATGAAGTGTCGCGCACGGCGGTAAGAGACAACAACCGGGGTTGGCGAGAAACGCGGGCGCGGTGCTCTTCAGCAAGCTGGTGATCGCTTCGAATACGGGCGGATGCGATAGATGTGCGCGCGGTGTGCGGCGGCCAGCTTCGGACAGGATGACGCCGGGCAATGCTAGCGCCAGCTCAAGACACGCATCTGCACCCTAACGCGAGTTAGACACAAAATGGAGGCATGCTGCTGTAAGCCCACTCTGACAAACCAGGTGAGTGTACACCAGGCACATCCAACAGACGAGAAACACAGGGAATTACAGCGTCGCAGCGGCGAAGCCATTGCTTCGCGCGCGCGCTCGCGAAACGTTCAAGAGGAATCCCCTAAATGCCCACACGGCACATTGATCCCCGTGACCCACATCTGATCCTCGATTTCCAAAAAGTCTACATTAACTGGCTTGGAACTATTTTCAACCACAATTCAACTCGCCTGCATTAATCAATGGTAGCGCTCGTTTCCGGCATTGAGATCCTCATCCTCATCATAGCTGCATAACCGGAGCAATTACCGGAGCGCAAGCCGCATTCATACACTTACGCCACTACTACACAAATACTCCAACCACCAAACACACCAAACTTAAACATTCTACAGCATAAAATAATGCGACTGATAGCGTTAAATCAATTGTAAAAAATTGTGATTGTCGTTTTCTTGTCTTTGGAGCTAAAAATATCACCGCCCGAAATTCGACAGCGAGTAGCGCACAGCGTAGCAATGACCTTTCATCCTCATCGCGGTGGAATCAATTCGAATAAGTTATATCCGTTCAAATAACGACGACTGCTCATAATCAATAAAACCACATGATTAATTAACCATCGAGGTGGTGGAGCAACAGTAGGGCTATTTGTATCCAGTGTGCATACAGTGTGTTTGCGAAATGATTTTGTTTGCAAACAAAATTTCGAAATTTTAATTGTGTTAGCAGTGGCGAGGGTGTTCGTGTTCAGTGTGTCACGAGGATAATTCATTTTCACACACTACTGGCCGCATAGCAACGGCATCGGCGTCGGTGAGGGCGAGGGCGGCGAGAAGAAGCAAACGCTGCGCTCGTCCTGGTCGGAATAGGAAATAAGGGCGAACGGCAGTTGAGGTCGCGTTACACAAAGCGGACGCCGGCGTACAATGAATGCACCATGCACTTTGTGACACTAATAAAAATTCAATTTTGAAATTGTGTGCAAGTTGCATATTTTTCTAGTTTGATACAATACAGGCAACCCAATATACAAATAAATATGTTGATTTTGATTGGCATTGAAAAATAGATACATGAGTGGTTAAATATGTCGTAGCATATCATCTTGTATACTTGCGCTCGGTATTGTTTAATCCATAAATGTTGTTCTTGTTCCACTTTGCAATTCAATCGCTTGGAAGTCTGGAGCGGCGCGCCGACTAAATATAAACGCCGCGGCGGGCAACGAAATTGACAGAACGTATACGAGCGACATTGATTAGGGTTTGCACTGGATACGTCCCACATTGTTATCGAGTTGATTCGAAGACACAATTGAGTCACAGAGCAAGTCTCAAGATTCAAAAATTACATCAAGCTATGAATAATATTTAGATTCGTCGCAAAATAGATAAAACGATTAATTTTTTTGAGTTTTATTCACTTTCTTCATTTAGAAGAAGCCATTCGTGTATTGATTTGCGTCATTGTGTTTATTATCATCTTATTTTTCTGTGTCCTTCAGATTTGAAACAGAATCGCTTCGTATCATTTGTTTTGATCCAGTTGAGATTACGTTCTTGACCGACAACTTGCTTACCAACAGTTTTAAACTTAGTTGATCGTTGAGTTCGGCGTGTTCATGACGTTCGCGATGCGTTTGATATCGGAAATTATGTTTATTTTTATAAATTCCACGTATTATAAATATTAATTTTGTTTTTGATTTAGTTAAATATAAAAGTGAATTTTATGCTAATAGTAGTGATTATATTAGCGATTGTTAATAAACTATAGGTATATATTTAATTTCTCAAGTGTTAAAAATTATCGTGAAGGAATAATACATTTTCTTTTAATCTTTGGTTGTTATCTATGATTTACGTTGATTAAGGTAACTATAGAAAACCATTTTATTAAAATTAGTTGAAAATTAAATGAAATAGGCCGTTAGAGAACATTTTATCGTCCAGTCAATACAATTGGTGTACATAATAAACAAATGCCGTAATAATTTAAAAAATAATAATAATTAAAATAATAATTAAGTAACAAAAACGTTGAATTCAAAAAATATATTTTTTTAGAAATCTGGATTATCAGATTAATATATATATTTTATTCTTATCTATTTTAACACTTAATGATGACTGAAAGATAAACCAGCATATTTTTCGATAATTATTGGTTTTATATTAAGTTTCGTTCATTAAGAATTCAATTTTATGACGTCTTAACATCTTAACTTATCCCAAACTGAAATATTAATAAACCACTATTCAAATTTAAATTGAATAAAATAGCTATACTTACAATAGGAAGTTTAATTCTGCTGCAATATCAAACAATACACTAACAATAAAACATAAATTTACAATAAAAGCATTAATAAAAAGTGCACTTGAGTAAAAGTACGTATATCTTTGACGAAACCTTATTGAAACAAGCCGTTATCCAATTTATGTCGCGCTATTAATCCAAATTATATGCATCACGTTTGCAAACGAGTACAATCCAGTCAGTATTAATCGCAAGAACTGATTCATTTAATTCTTATCTTTGGTATAAAATAATAAATATTAAAACTATTTTAAAACACGTTTAAATTTAAAAGATAATAAAACATTGTGATTTAACGCGAACTAAAATACTTATATTCAACTTCAATATCAATTATTATTTTTATTATTAACCATAAAACGATAAATATGACTTTTGTCACTAAACACTGAACTATAAACTGAACTTAACACTATAATACGACATGAATGACCTCATTGGAAGAATAAATAGTTTTCTTAGAATTCCAGGAAGATTTTCCAATGAGTCATGCACTTTTCACAATAGCTTTGATCTACGATAACTTTAATTATTTACATAACATTTTACCTTACACTTTTTCCCAGGAAATAATTTAATTAGTGTGGTAAAGTGTCGCGAATCTGGTTGCATACCAATGTAATTTCAAATTAGTATATGAGTTGGTTTGTTTGTTACTCTTTCACGAATCTCTTTTACTGAATAGATTTAAATGACTTTTTACAATTTTATAACTTATTCGTCAAAATAGAATATAGGCAACTTTTGTCCCGAAAATAAAATTTGAAGGCAAGAAAATTGGGTATGCTACCGATAGTTATTTAATTTAAACCAAGGCGGCGCTAATGTTGTTTTCGCATTTATTTAAATTAAAATTTAGAAGAAAGTAGTTAGTGAGGATACTTTTTAAAAATGTATGCAAACGATATCGCGGGCAAAAGAAACTAGTATCTAAACATATAAATTGCTGACAATTTAAATTGCCATTATTCTATTAAGATTATCACTTTCAATTTTAAACTGTCTCTGACTCTGACATTCAATTTATTGTGACCGGCATCTCACTACAAAGCCTCAAGTTAAATCATCTCACTGTGTATAACTCTCTAGCTGTACAAATTCTAAAATTGTTATCATCTCAAGTAGGTTAAATATTGCAACAGTTGATTCAGTTCGCAACTTTTTCTGCTCTGCACGAACGTCCGAATCGAGGTAAATGAAGGTAAACGAAACTGAACAAATGGAAAATATCTAATTAGCAGAAAGTTTATCGCTTCGTTCCGTTTTCTAAAATACACACCAAACTTCAACTATATGTAGGTGCACATTGCGCATTGAAACGTCAAAAACAAAAGCGGAAATCTTAAAGTTTCAAGAGTTTGGAAGTTAACTCGATACATCTTGTACTTATGTATATATATTTAAGACAAAAGGATTGCAATTTTGTATAGTGTGTCGCTAATTAATCATGATTTTAATTTTGTGTGTCTTTTTGTTGCAGGTGAGTGTTAACACTAAACTAGAGCGAAATTAAATGTGGTTTGTTGAGTCCAGCGTGAGTACAAATACAAATTTTATAATAAACAATAGAAGAATTGTCAAAATTACGTTTACAACGTAAAATTTCAAGAGAAACACATTTGAGACAAGAAAGGTTTTTATTAGGTTATGTTGCTTCCGGATAGTAATTATATTTTATATTAAAATCAGAAATTTATAGCGATAACATTAAAATAATAATATGATAGTACTCTTTTTAGTTTGTGATCATTAATTTACTATTATCTGGTTGTTTGTACATCAATTTTGCTTTTATTGTAATCTTTGCTGATTTGGTTCAAAAATCGAGCATCGTTTCGCTCGACATGCATTCGCAATGAATGGCCCGCGTTCCGGCCGGAAAGAAAACGTGAAAAACGAACGCCGAGACGACGGCGGGCGAGGGTGGCGGCTGCAAAAATGTAAAATACTCGAGTAGAAAAAATGCGGACAGCTATGTGAACGCGCAGGCAATGGCTTGAACAATGGGGAGGAAAACTCCAGGGTGGAAAACGCAACAATGCCGCTTTTCTTTCTACCGGTGTTGGGGTTTTGTTCGGCGCGTAAGCGCCGCGGAAAAGTGGGGCAACAATAGGGAAATGAAAAAATGAAATCTCTTTAATTTATTAAAAATTTACTAAATTAAACATGTTTGGGTGGCAATTACTATAATGCTAATCATTATTATCTGTAGTTTAGAGGGCATTTTAGTCAAATTATTATAGTATTAGCAATTTAAAACAAATATTCACTTTTAATCAACTTAATTTAATTTAAATAGCTCTGAATATCATTGCCATTGCCATGAGAACGGATCAAAAGTGAGGTTATGGCACTTTCTAACCAAGAAATCACGTTTCTCTGTAAATTTTCTTAAATAAAAGTAAATTTTTGAGTTAAAATATGTTTTAACTATAATTATGTGAAATATTAGATTAATTCTGACATCAAATCAAATGATGTTTAAAACTGGCATTTTAAACACTTAATATTCATTATATTAATGTGGCATTAAAACTTATGACACTAATAAACGGTTTAAATAATTCTTAACATTTGCAATTCGTATCAGAATATCAATTAAAATGTCAATCATCATAAAATCATTATAAAATCAAAATGAAGCAGTTCCACATCTAATGATTACAATGCTAAATTATTAAACGATT